TAATTGCATGTATTCAGAGAATAAATGCTGTGTCATTCCACCCTTTGAAAGTAAAACTCTCCATATGGTTAAGATGTCGTCAGTTTTTAAGAAATAATCCACGATCACCTAAAGATCGTGAATTCTTCGGTCAGTGTTCTATGTGCGACCATTGGGTTTTGTTTGTTTTTTTTTTAAGATTTTACTTATTTATCTTTAGAGGGGAAGGGAAGGAGAGAGGGAGAGAAACATCAAGGTATTTCACCTCCATTTCTCAATGTATTTTAACCATTGAGAAATATCAATGGTTGCCTCTCATGCTACCCTGGCGAGAACTGGCCTGCAACCCAGGCATGTGCCCCGACTGGGAATCGAACCGCGATCCTCTGGTTCGCAGGCCCGCGCTCAATCCACTGAGCCACACCAGCCAGGGCTGTTTTTACTTTTGTATAATAGTCTTTGCCTTTTAATTGGAGCAGTTAGTCCATCCATTTACACTGAATGCAATCGCTGGTAGATTGGGTTTTAAATGTATTGTTTTCCTCAGTGTTTTCTGGTTTTGTTCCTTAGTCTGTACTCTGGTTTCTCTCCTTTCTTTTCAGAATGGCTTAACGAGATACAATTAAAATATAACACAAGAGTGGGGTGACCACTCTGGCCCCCTCACATAAACGAAGTCACACCCCGTGTGGCCCTGGGCGCCCGGCTTCATTCATGCAGAGCAATGTTCCGCACGCCCCTCCGAGTGGTAGCGCACGTCAGCATTCCACTTCACTCTCTTTATTTCCGGAGGATGTCTCACCGCACGAACGGGCACGGTGTCTGTTCGTCCCCCCACCGGCGGGCACGGCCAGGGCCCCACCACCTCGCTGCCCTGGGCTCTCGGGCTCGAGTGTCTGTCCGGGCGTCTGCTTTCGTTTCTCTTGGCTCCGTCCTCGGGGTGGGCCTGCCGGGTGACTCTGTTCATGAGTCCACGGAAGTCTGGAGCTCATGTTTTCCAAGATGTCACTTGTGTTTTCATGCAGCGACATTCACTTAGAATTGCCAGTTTGCCGTTTCGGAGGCTTGTCTTCATTCCTACAGGTCCTCTCTGTCATGGAGAGCAGGTTTCCCAGTGACAAACTCTCCCGATTTTTGTTTGCTTGAAAATGTTTGCATTTTTAAAATATGTTTGAGAATAGAACTTGAAATTGATGGTTATTCTTTTCCAGCCCCTCAAATACACCGTCCTGCCACCTTCCGGCTTCTGCTCCTTCCAATCGTGTTCTGGGAAGGACCAACCCTGACCCCCCCCACAGCACCTCGCGGCCCCTGGCCCCATCCTCCGCCCGGCCCAGAATAACAGGACTGGCTCCTGCGGTCATCCCTCCGGAGCCCCCGGACGCCCCAGACCTCAGGGGAGCAGGGAGAGGCATTTGGGTGCCTTTTTTCCCTGCAAAAGGCTTTGTTTCCATTTCCTCCACCCTGGGGAGAGGCTCCAGGCTGGTTGAAAGGCTGCCTCCTGGTTTCGGGAAGAGGCTCAGGCAGGAGCCAAACACCAGGGGACCCAGAGGGGCCTCTGGGCGCCACAGGCTCCCGTTGTGCTCGAAGGGAGCCCGCGGAAGAGACAGTGGCCCGGCCGGGGGACGGGCAGCCTGCGGAGGGAGCCAGGCGGTCACCCATCTTCTCGATGAGGTTCACCTGCTCACCCAGGAAGTGGCTCCCCAGGAAGTCCCGGAGCTGCAGAGCGGGCAGCACGAGGGCCCCCCTCTGCTCATCCCGGGAGAGGGCGTGGCCACCTCTCCAGTTTTACATCCTCAGGAGCTGCTGGTCGCCCCCTGGGCCACCTCGGGGAAGAAGTGGCCCCGCCTCCAGGGCCACAGCCTCCGGGTGGACACAGAAGGCCAGAGAGAGGTGGGTGTGGGCGGCCGGCAGAGGCAGGCTGGCCAGGCGGTGGGCGGGCCCCGGGTGCAATAATTCTGATGAACCCGGGAGCTCACGGTTGCTCGGCAGTCAGGGGTTAAGGTCAAAAACCAGCGTTGGCTGGTCTCGGAGGCCCAGGGTGGCTGAGGTGGTTGTGAAGGGGGAGACTGGGAAGGAGGTAGGAGGGGCATCGGACCTGGAAGGGGCGTCGCTGGGCCTGTTCAGGGCAAACGCCGTTGGAGCAGGTGACGGATCGGGGTGGGTGCTGCTTGGGGCCCTGCCTGTGGTTTGTTTTTTGTAATGACTTTCCTGAGATGTAATTTGCATATCTCGCAGTTCGCCCACGTACAGCGTGGGAGTCGGTGGTTCTCAGTCCATCCACAGAGCCACGCGGCCGCTGCCACAGCCAATTCTAGGCCATTTTCATGGCTACGAAAAGGACCCGGAGCCTTTCAGCGCTCACTCTGCGCTCGCCCGCTCCCCGCCCTGCCCTGGAACCCTCCGACCCCCTTTCCGGGGCTGCGGTCAGCCTGTCCAGGCCCCTCATGTCGACTGAATCAAACCCTGTGCAGCCCTTGGCGACGGGCGCCCTTTGTTGAACGTGACGTTTTGGAGGTTGTCCAGGGTGTGGCGGGGGTCTGTCCTTCTTCATTGCTGAGTGTCATTCCCTCTAGGGAGGGACCAATTTGTCCGTCCGTCCGTCCATCAGCCGACGGATGTGGGGGTGGCTCCACATTCTGTCTGTTGTGAACAGCACTGCCAGGAGCGTTCACCTTTGCATGTGCGTGGGGGTGTGTTGTGCTTCTCGGGTCCGCACCTGGGCATCCGCAGCCCTGTCTCACGTTTTGGGGGAGCCTGGCCCAATTCCCACGGCAGCTGCCCCAGCTCACCGCCCCACCAGCAGCCTCTGGGAGCCCCGGTCTCCCCGCACCCTTGCCCACTCTGGTCACCTTGGCGACGCCACACTACTGGTTGTGAACTGGCATCTCACTGCGTTTTCGACCGCATCTTCCCGGTGACTGACGCCGCTGAGTATCTTTTCACCGGCCATTTATTGGTCATTTGTGTCCCCTCCTGGCAGAAAGGTTTATCGAGAACCATTGTCCATTCTGAATCGAGCCGTCTCTTTATCTTTGAGTTGGGAAAGTTCTGTATACATTCTAGATACAACCCTCATCAGATGGTTGATTGCACATATCTTCTCCCATTCGGCGTTGCCTTCTCGATTTCACAACAGTGCCTTTAAAGCAGAGGCTGGAGTCTCAGTGATGCCAACTCATCTGTTATTCCTGTCGTTCGTGGCTGGTACTTGTGAGGTCATAGCTAGGAAATTCTTGCCTAATTCAAGGTCATGGTCATTTACGCCCAGGCTTTTCCCTAAGGATTTTATAGCAGCAGCCCACATACTTGGGCCTTCGGGCCAGTTCGAGTTCATCTTCGTACTTGGTGTGAGGTCGGGGTCTGACCCCACCCTTCTCTGTGTGGAGACGTCTGGTTTTCCCTCTTACTTCCTGTCACTTTCCGCTTTTCTCATGGTCTGGGCAAGAAGGTCCCACTTTGTCCGTTACTGTGACCCAATACAACGAGCTCCCCATCAGGCCACTGTGCCCCCAGCTCCCGGGGAGCCCCATAGGAAATGACCCCCAAGAGTCCTAACGTCAGCAGTCATTCCCTGTGGCTGAGTCGCTGGCCGTCCGCAAGGCCCTCTGCTGAACGCTGATGTTTGTACGGCGACTGAGTCCGGCAGGCCTTTCCCGGCAGGGCCGCTGCTCTGCCGGTTCTTTCCCAGCGGGCCGGATACGGGGAAGGGGCCTGTGAAAGTCAGGGGCTGGGGAGGGACCCGGGCGCGCCGCTCTCCTGAGGGGGCCGGTGTCCATGTGGCCCTGCCACCAAAGTCCCGGAAAGCCCTCTGGAAGCAAGTGCCACGTCTCACTGGTGTTCATGTCCCTGGTGCTGAGCACGAGGGCTGCCCACTGAGAGGCAGGTGTGGGGTGCACGGAGACGGAATGAACGGGGAGGGAATGCCCTTGGGATGCGGGTGGAGGATGGGGAGAGTCCCAAAGGTGAGGGGCACCCAGAGGGGCTGTGGGTGTGCCCCAGAGCAAACGTGGCCTCCGCTCCTACGTCGGTGTGGTCAGCAGTGGGACAGGGGTCACACCCTCCATGTCACTGTCCCCAGAAGAGGGAGCTGGCGGGCACCTGGGCGAAGCTGACACATTCTCCCCACGCACCTGCGGGGCTTACACTCCGCCCCACTGCCTGCTGTGTGGGAAGCAGTCCCCTGAGGAGGCCCCTTCGTCCCACAGACAGAGGGACTGCGGGGTCAGCTCAAGTCGGCCTGGTCCCAGAAGGAGCAGGCAGCTCCTGAACCGCCCGCCAGACGGGGGCCCTGGCCTCAGACCCAGCTGGCAAGTGAAGGAGAGGAACCTCTGCCCTTCGCCGCTCAGGCCTGAAGGGGGCTTGGGGAGGGGGGCTTGTGTCTGAGCCGCAGGTCCTGCAAGTGGGCTGACTTGTTTCCCCCTGCACCTGTGAATGGGACCTTATTTGGAAATAAGGTCTTTGCAGACATCATTAACTTAAGGATCTTGAGAGATTATCCCAGGTGAGGGCAGGCCCTACATCCATGCCCGGTGTCCTTCAAAGAGGGGGGACATCAGAGAGACACAGAGAAGGCCATGTGAGGACAGACCTAGGCAGAGACTGGAGGGATGCAGCCACAAACCATGGGGCCCCTGGGGCCCCCAGAACCTGGGAGAAGCAAGCGGGGGACCCTCCCCTACAGGCCTGGGGGGTTGGGTGGGGAGGAGCCTGGCCCCCACCCGGGTTTTGCACTTCCGGCCTGCAGGGCTGTGAGACAGTTCATCTCCGTCCTGGGAACCCATCAGGCTCCCGGAGGTCTGTCACGGCAGCCCCAGGCAGCGGACACAGCTGCCCATGTCCACGTCCCACCTGACCCTCAGAGACGGGCCAAGCACAGGAAACGTGTCCCAGGAAGGGAGAGGCAGTTCAGGCCCGGCCTGGGCCTCGGGGGCTCCAAGGCCCCGGGGCCTCCCACAGACAGTGGGTGGGGCTTGGGGGCAGGGACCCGCGGGCTCAGAGACCAGACGGAGGAGGCCTCCTCGATGCTGAAACTCAGTTCCAAGTTTAATGTTTTCTGAGAGCACATGAGGACAGCAGGAAGCGGTAGCGGGTGCCCCCAGGGGGTGCAGGTCCCAGCGTCTGACCGGCAGAAGTCCTTCAGAGGGGGGGTGTGCTGTGGCCAGGCCCAGGGCGGGCAGAGGCACCGACCAAGGCCAAGGCCACGGCCACCTGGTGGTGGGAGGGAAGCCTCCTGGAGGGGCTCAGGCAGGCAGGCAGGCAGGAGAGTGACCAGCCCGGGGTGTTCCTGAGAGGCAGGAAGGACTGCCAGGCCAAAGTCGGCCGCAGGCCACAGCACCAATCCCGGCAGCAGCCCACCCACCCTGGAGAGGGGGCTCTGACCCCACTGGTTGGCACGTGCCTCCTCCCAGGTGTCAGGGACTGAGCACCACAGAAGCCCTGAGACAGGCAGAGGGGAGCCTTCCAGCCCCTCCCCCCGGCTCTCCCCTGCTCCTGCGTGGTGGTTGTTAGGAGCTGGTCGCAGGCCTGGGGGAGGGCATGGGGGGGGTGACTGGAGGCTGAGCCCTCTGGGACAGAGGAGTCTGAGACCGTGTGCTGGGAGGTGGGGCACGGTCAGAGGACATGTCATCTAATTGTCGGGAGTGGTCGACACGTCTGAGAGAAGGGACAGGAGCTGACGCTGGGGTGACAGGCATGGAGGCCATGCCAGGGTCTGTGGCTCTGCCTCGGAGCTTCTGAGCTTTGCTCCCCACAGAGACCCCCCCACCCCATTCTGTCTCCGGAGACAGTAAGACCTGGAACCACAGGGCCATTTCCCCCTCCCCTTCCTGTGAAGGGCCTCCTGCCGAATGCCAGGCTGGGGACGTGGGGACCGGGGGCAGCCAGATTGGGGGAAGAGCTGGGGGAGTCGGCCCAGTGCTGGGCCGAGGGACCGTGGCGCGCAGCGGGAGTGGGGGGTGGCGGGGCAGCAGGAGGCCGGCCGGCGGCTAGGGCTCCGCCGCGTGCTTGACCAGGTAGCCGCTGAAGGTGATGTAGGTGTCGAACTCGTCACTGAAGATGGCGTTCTCGCGCTCGCCCTTGAAGAGGCGCACCCACACCTCGTCCTGGTCCCGCAGCTCCAGCATCAGGCTCTGGCTCTGCATGATGCTGCGGTCGCTCACCTGCGCGTACAGGATCACCACCTCCTCCTCGTTCTTCATGACGTGCAGGTACGTCTCCTTCTGGTTCCAGGTGTGCACGTTGAGGCTGAAAAAGTAGATGCCAGGCACGTAGCAGTAGAACCTGCCCGTGAACATGTTAAAGTGGCCGTAGAGGTTCACGAACTCCGTGTCGAAGATGACCGTCTGGTAGTAGTCGTTGCTATGCAGCGGCTTCTTCCGGCCCACCGAGAAGGCGGCGTAGTAGGTCTTGCACCGGTCCCCGGGGGCCCCCACGGAGCCTTTCTGCCCTTTGGGTCCCATGTGGCCCCGGACGCCCGCCGCACCCGTCTTGCCGTATTTCCCCTGCAGGCCCCGAAGTCCCCGGTCACCCTTCTCACCTGAAAGGGACAGGAAGACATGTGGCATCAGGCAAGCAGACCCGGCCCCAGCTTCTGATTTTCAATCAGAAGCAATCATTCTTTTTTCCTTCTGGAAAGTTCCCCCACCCAGAAGACGGAGCACAGGGGCTGTCCAAACACAGCAGGCGTGGCGCCCAAGCGGTAGCCCACTCGGTGCAAGCGGAGGGCTGCCGTCATTGGCGGGACGTTGGGACCAGGACTGGAGCCACTCTCCCCCGTACGGCTTTGCGCGCAGGCCCTGCCCAGTCACGTGCTGTGGGTGGGGCCTCCGCGTGCAGGCGGCTGGGGGCGGGGCAGCACGGAGCCTCCAAATACAGACCCCAGAGGCCTGTCCTGGGAAAGCAGGTAGGCGAGGTCCAAGCTCCCCTCTTGGAAAGGGGCCAAGAGACCCGGAAATGGGATTTCCTCTTCCTGCCCCTGTGAGGACAGTCCACCTCTGCCCTGCGTGCGCCCCAAGGCCCCCTCCACCCACCCAACAGGGATGCGGCAGGCCTGCCCCCGGGGCAGGGCTCTCCATCGGCCTTGCCGCGCCCTGACCTTTCAGAATGGTGATGTTGATCTGCGGCACCGGCACCGCGGGGTACACAGGGGCACCGGGGTCACAGCAGCGATAGCACTGGGAAGCGGGGGGCTCCTCGTCCTGCCGGGGGCTGTACTTCTCATGCTCCTCCTCGGCCCTAAGGGAACAAAGACAGGACAGTGAGAGCCCCGTGCTGTCGGAGCCGGTGGCGGGACCCTCCGTGGGGCCCGTTCCCGAGCCCCCTGCCCTCCCGTAACAGCCATTCACAATGGTGGGAACAGCCGTGGCACGAACAGCCACGACGGAAGGGCCCCGCAGGAGGAGGTCTCCGGACACGTGAGACGCTGCCGCTACTGGCCGTCCTCTTCGTGCATCCAGGGTTCCAGAAGGTGCCCTGTGAGGCCGACTCGCTGGAAATGAGAGGGTTCGACTACATCTTTGGGGTCCCTTCCTGCCGCAGCCGCTGGAGACTCTGTTTACAACCTGACCTTGGCAGACGGGCTCCTGGGCCTGGTGGTGGGTGACGGCCCCGTGCTGCCCCCTTGTGGCCACGTGCTGCACTGCCCTCACACTCGCTCAGGCTCTGCACCCAGGCTCTTGGGGCTGTAGTGGGACCCCTTGGGGGAGGCACGGCCCCTCTCAACGGGCCAGCTCCTCATCTAACACCACTCCTGCTTGCAAACCCAGGCAGTCCAGGAAATGGATGTCAACACCCTAATTCCGCCACCCACAAGCCCCGGTCTCCCAGATGGACCCCTGCCCCCCAACTCTCGCCAGGAGTCTCCACCCAGAGATTCCACAAGCCCCGGGGTGTGATGGCCTGTCACTGTCACTTTGCCCCTAGAATCTTTTCTTTCCAAAGCTTCCTAGCACCACCAGTCACCCCGAACGGAACTCTCAGCCTCATTCTAGATGCTTCTCTGGCTTTGCCGCTGCCTTCCAAGGATGGTGGAGGTCTGAGGACTCAGCCCCAGCTATGCCCAGGTGCCTCCAGAGCCGGCGCCCTTGGGCCCTTGTCCCTTCTCGTGGGCCATTGCCTTGGTGGCTTCTCCCCTGGAATGTGTCACCCCCATGCCAATGCATCCCTGCCCCTGCCACCCTCAGCATTCTTTCTAGAACTCCACTAAGTATGAACCTCTCCAGGTTGCACCTCCGCTTGCACCTCCCTGTGAGAGGGAGCCCGTGATGGGGAGCTTCTCCCCCATTGGAAGGTCAGAGAAGCTCAGGACAGACCCTTCCCCACCAGACTCATTGCTTCTCCCATCCCCCACCCTCCGGCCCGCAGTCCTTCCACCCCAGCTCAGAGCCCTTAGGCTGCTGGGTACCACAGGGTCGTGCCTGTGTGTGCGCTCTCCTGGCTGCAGGGGCAGCCTTGCCTCCTTCTGCACCTGGGAGGCGCCCATGTGTCCTTCAGGACACAGGCGCCCCTCTGCTTTTCTCCCCCAGCGTCATGGGGCCCCATCACTGCCCCCCTCACACACAGCCTCAGAGTTGCCAGAGGCCAGGGACTGTGCCCAGCAGACAGCCAGGCCAATGGTAGGCACTCAGGACGTGTTTGCTGAATGAAAACGAGGAGGAGGCTGGGAGGAGGTCGGGGGTGGCAGACTGTGGAATCCTGTGCGGTTCCACTGAAGACGTCCAGAAGCCTTGGGTACCCAGTCAGCCCAGGGCTCAAAAATAGTGAAGAAAGAAAACTGGCATGGGGCTATCACCCGGGCGTCTCGGGCCTCACGTTGGATGCATGACAGTTTCACGAGGAATCCCAGGCGCTCTGCGGGTCCCTACAAAACATCCCAGATAGCCTGCCATCTGCAGAGCCACTGCTGGCCAGAGGAATTCCATAACTTTTCCAGGAATGCCGTTCCCATCAGCGGGTGTCAGCCCTCCTGCCCCATCTTGCAACTTGACCCAGAGGTCAGGGTCGTAGGACCCAGCCCTGGGTCCGGCCTCATCCCTGCTCCCATTTTCTGGGAGCTCAGCAGACCTCCTTAGAGGACCAAGCGGGAATGGAGGCACTGGAGCCTGGGTGGCGGGTTGCTGTGCCCTTTCGTTGAAGATGAGGCTGCAAAGCCCCGCCCAGATCCACATTCTTCCAGGGTCAGAACGAGGCTGCGTGACTCCTGTCAGGCTCGGATGAGGTGCCCGGGGCAGCGAGGGGGAAACGTTTGCCCGCCTCCCTCCCATGAGGGTGGCCCCTCAGCCGCGATGCAGCGCCTTTGTGTCTAGAGGGGCAGCGCCACCCCGGACCCCAGGCTCCGCCTGGCCCCCCTGGAGCTCCAGCAGCCGCTCAGGCGGCCTCACCTGTCAGTGTGGTCCAGCAGCGGCTCCTGGGTCCCCTCCAGCTCCTGCGGGTCCCGCCGGTCAGGCGGCAGGTGGCCCAGCACCGGCCCACAGGCGAAGGCCAGCAGCAGGCAGCACGCCAGCGCAGGTCCGGGTCCGCGGGAGCCCATGGTCCGCCGTGCCCTGCTGGGAGAGGCCCCGGAGAGTGCGGGTGGGCAGGGGCTCCGCCGGGAAACCGCGGAGGAGCCAGGCGTCTTCCAGACACACGGCACCGGGGGTGTCCCAGCCACAGCTCCTGCCGGGGGACGGCCGCTCACACACGCTCTCGCACACTCACATGCACAGTGCACATTCTCACACACACAACACACACACAAGCCTCAGTGCACACACGCGCACACCCATTGACACACTGACACACTCACATACTCAAATACACTGCCATGTGCGTTGGACACATTCACACACCCTCTGTACACACACATTCACACCACACTCACACTCGAACACTTAGTCACACGCACACTCTCAACACAGTCGCGTGTACTCACATAATCCACATGCATGCAGCCCACCAGAGAGCCCCTGCCTCGCCCAGCTGCCCGAGACCCCCTAGCGTCCCAGGAACGGACCCCTCAGCCTCTGGGCTCCGGAGATGGTCACTCGTCGTCCGTATTGGACAATGAGCAAAATCCCGACGAGTTTGTGTGGTCACTGTCCAGTGACTGCCCAGTCTGTGCTGTGAAAATGAGGGAGGAGGCAGGTGGCTACACGTTGCCCTGCGGCCACCAGGGGGCGCGCCAGTGAGCGTCCTCAGCGTCTACTGTGTTTTGCCGCGTATAATTCGTACTTTTTTTTGCCTAAAATTTTGAGGGGAAAATAAGGATGTGCACCATGCCGGGGTAGTCTGAATTCTGTATCTATGTAAGGGTTTTTAAATTCTTTTATTTATGCTTATGCATTAAAAGTGTAACTCTGGAAAGCAATAATGATATCCATATGCAAAATAATAGTCTGGATATGATGATGATTTCGCTTCTAAATATAAGTAAATAAAAAATTGAGTTAAAAAATTTAAATGAGAGATTTTTTTCTCTGAAAGTTTGGGCCAAAAAACGTTAGTGTGCGTTGTTATACTCGGCAAAATACAGTAATGTAGACAGTGGGCGAGGCCCAGGCCCAGCAGTTAGACGAGACACCCTCCTGGTTTGCAGCTGGGGCGTCCCCCCAGCCAACGGTGGTCAGTCCTCACCCACCCATGCTCACCGTCTGACACTTCAGAGGACCTCTGGGGCCTAGGCCGGCTGCCTCCGCTGCCCCCGCTGCCCTGTGAGAAACCGCAGCCCCATTGCGGGTGCGGGGTCAGGCAGTGACGGAGAGGCCAGTGGGAGGAGCCGGCAACAACCTCCCAAGTCCCCCGTCTGGTCTTTCCTTTCACTCCACGGGGACGCTTCAGGGAACCGAACCACTGAGGCAGTTTCCCGTTTTCACAAGTGACTTTTCGCCCAGACAAAGGCTCCCTCTGGACACCCGGGAAGCCATGGGCCCCCTCTTCCCACCCTCTGCACCGGGCTGCCGGGGGGCTCTGCCTTCTACGCCGCATGCTAGGGGGCTCGCCGTTACAGCTCTGCAGAGACCCTGTGTGGGTCAGGAGGAAGTGGGTTGGGGGTGCAGAGAGTGCAAACCAGCGCCTGGGGCAGAGAAGGCACAGGTGACCCACAAGACTCAGGGTCAACAAGGCTGCCCCCCAAATCCCCTTCCTCACGGTCACCCACCCCTCTGCGTGACCCCCACCCCTCCACTGCAGGGGATTAGCTGGGCCCCCACCTCCAAGTTCTCTACCAACCAAGCATCCAGGCCCAGAGACCTTCCCAATGACCGAGCCTGCTTGGAGCAGCCCTGACTCAAGACCGTTAGGACTTCCTTCCACTTGCCGAAGGCAGCGTGGATGTGCGCGTGTCGAGTATAAAGTGCCTGGTAGAACTCAGTCTGTCTGCAAACCCACCCACCTACCCCTCATTTCTCGGCTCCTCCGCAGGGCGCACCCGGCCCTCCCCCCGCACCCCCCTGCAGCTGCACACACAGCAGCCCTAACCTGGTGTTCCAGCTCCCTGCCCCTCGAATTTTAACACACACACACCACCTGGGAAATCTTGTCAAAATGCGGATTCTGCCCCAGGCAGTCTGGGGCAGGGCTGTGAGCCTCTGTATTTTCAAAAGGGCCCCGGATGCTGCCCACCCGGCGGGTCTGAGAACCACACATGTGCCAGGTTCCAGCCACACCCCCAACGGCTGGCACAGGTCCAGCTGCCCGGCTGCCCTGTTCCCCCCACTCCCCCCACCTCCGCCAGGAGCACCCTGTCTCCTCCTCTCTCCTTCTAACAACCGGGTGAGCAGGACCCACGACTGGGGGCACTGGGTACTGCTGGGCAGGCGGCGTAGACTCCACCCAGCGTCAGGGTTCACTCCGCGAGCCCGTCCTCAGTAATCACCCGACCCCATCACAGGCTTCCGGTGAACCTGCGGCAACTCCGCTCAGGAGGCATTGTGCATTCGTCATCACACCCACTTCACAATCGAGGAAACGGGAGTGAGGAGTTGGTTAGCATAAGACTGACCAGTTTTTAAGTGCCAGGGAAGCGGGGTAGGAGGTGCATGGCGGGGCGGGGGGGGGGTTGGGGGGCGTGTCTCAACTCAGATCACATCAAACTCTTGCCAGGTCTGCAAGACGCAGCTCGGCGCCTCACATTCCCCCGCAGTCTTCCTGGACCCTCACCTGGCCGGCCCTCTCCCTCCACCTCCCCACACTTGCTTTTCAGGTTGCCTCGTCTGTCGGCCAGGTTCGGCTCGGCCCGGCCCATGGGGTTCTGCACAGCCCGTGGTACCTCCCCCGGCCCCGGACACCGTCAGTTCACCTTGGGCTGGCCAAGCGCCCCGCAGCACCCCAAACCTGGCTGCCGCTCAGCGAGTATTTGTCAGACTGAATTCTCTGAATTGGTTGATTTCCCTGCTTCTGCCCTTCCCATTTTTCCTTGGAACCTTAATAATTACTTGTTTCTTTTAAATGCCAAGCTTGCGTCCCTTAAAAAGCAAAGAGGCTTTCCTTTCTTTAAACTTTTTGTGGGGCGGGAATCTAACTCATTTTGGAAAAGCAGGAAACAAGGAAAGGAAGCGGAAGCTCCCTCAGGCGCCTCTGTCCATGGGATGTCTCAGCCTCGCACCGGGGATGGGGGCTGGGCCATTCCTTGCTGCCGTGGCTGTCCCCTCCGCTGTGGGGTGTTCCGCAGCGTCCCAGGACCCCCCCCCAACCAGATGCCATCAGCACACCCACCCCCAGCTGCGACCTCCAGAACATCTCCAGCACTTGCCACGTGCCCCCTGGGAAGGAGAAACCCGCCCCTTCCTCCTTGAGAATCGATGCTCCGCCCCCCACCAAAGCGCCATTTTGCAGGTCAGCACGTCTCTTTCTGGTCTGGAAAAGGGGTTTTCTGTACCTTTATCGGAGGAGGTGGGGACCAGGGCGCTGCTGGCTTGGGGGTGACGGTGTCAGTGGGGTGGAAGCCGGTGACGGCCTTGCCAAGAGCCGCAGGTAAGGGGTGGGCAGAGCGGGGGCGCGGGGGCTGGAGGGCCTCTCCAGGAACCGCCTTGTCGGAAGCCAAAGCAAACCGAGAAAGAGACCTCTCCGTCTGCAAAAATACCTTCAGGACCATTTTGCCCAGTCCAGCAGCAGAGCCGGCACCGCCACGTTCTGTCCTCGGATCCCTGAATTGCCCAACATCCAACCAGACTTGGCTCCAGGCCGCCATGGGCCACCTGCACCAAAGACGGCCCCCACCTGGGGAGAGGTGGCCCCCAGAAGGTGACTCTGAGAACTCGCCCCCCCTTGGGGAATCTGGCCCCACGTGGTCCAGCCTCCGGGCTGCCTCCCGGTCAAGGCATCTGAGGTCAATTCCAACATGACTCAAGCTCTGGGCGGGCCTCTCCCAAACCCTGTGAAGAAGTTCGTGTGCCAGATTCCACGGCAACCCCACGAACGTCTTTGCCCTCCCACCGGACTCTCCTCTCTGACCTGCAGCCCTACCACGCTCCCCTCCTCAACCTTTCCCACCAGCCCCCAGCTCCACCGCCCCCAGCAAGGAAGGCCCCCGCCCATCACAGGAGGAGGGCGTCAGAGAGGGGCAATGGGGCCAAGGACGGGATCTGGAGAAGGGCGGGACGCCAGAGAACGCGTTCGGTTAACAGTTTCTGTGCCTTCCCAGACCCGCCTGGGCCGGGGGCGTGCACTTTAAGGAGCCGCTCACAGACCCAGCCAGGTGTCCTGCGGCCAGCGGGGGGTCCCATCCCGAGGCGCTGGCCCCTCCCACGTCCCCACGGTCCTGCCCGTTCCAACAGCCCCCTCCCAGAGCTCAGGCACCACATGTCTGCGCTCTGTCTTGGTGCCACACGCGGCCCAGTGCCATTTGACGAAAGCATTTCGCAAACACGCTTTCTGTCTTCCTCAGTCTTTGTCGGGCGGCCAGCTGTTCCGAGAGGGAGAAAGCCTAGAATCTCCCTGGATTAGCAACAGTTTGGAGGAGGAGTCAGCTGCCCGTGCAGCTCGCCAATGTCCCCTTGGCAGAAATCCAACTTGGGTGTGGCTCGCCCGGTGCCCCTGCGTCACGTACACGCACAGCGTGGCGTCAGGAGCCAGTGACTGCTCGGTGATCTCCCGAGCATCACCGTCCAGCAAAAGAGACAGTGTGCCCCCCCCACCGCTGACGGCCCCCCTCGGAGCGGCAAACCTTGAGTCCAGGCCGGTGCTGTCTCCTGTGATGGCCACAGCCACGTGCGGCTATTGCACTGCAAACAAAAGTTCACCAAAACCCACAAATCCGCTCCTCCGTCACGCGGGCCAGGTCCCATGCTCTCGATAGCTGTGCACAGCCGGCAGCAACTATGTCGGAGAGGCGGGCGGGAGAGGAGCTTCCCCGTCATGGCAGAGCGCTGTCCTGGACAGCTGTCCTCACAGAGTGGGGCCAGCCGGGGGGGAAGAAGGAGGCAGCCACAAAGGGCAGCCAGAAACCTGGGAGTTGTGCCGGCTCCTTCCTCTCTCGCACCCACGACATCGACTCAGCCACCAGCCCTCTGTACTGTCTCCTGAAGGTCTCTCTTCCTGCCGCCGGCCCGTGCCCCGAGCTCTACCTGAG